TAAAAAAAATTGTATAAAATTTTTCATTTACACACGTCTGGACATGTTTAAACTTGTCTAGACATGTATTTGTGACGTCATAGAATCAAAATTGAACGCGCATGCGTACTATGAAAGTGGGTGTGGCTATTCAAATGATTTTGCGCAATTGGATAGAATAGGGTGGGGGGCTTTAAGCTATTGCGCATGCGCGAGTAAAATTTTAGGTATAAATTTAGCGTGCATGAGCAGTTTTGCTCATTCTTTTTCTCAGATATCGTCTAGTCTTTAAAGATGGATCTAAGTAAAATAAATGCTGTTGGTCGTATGGAAGGTTTCCTGCCTACGAAACCGTTTTCAGAGTTGACTCCTGGACATAAGTATCCTATTACCAAAATCCAGTTTGTCAATACAAAATATGGAGAAAAGATAGTCATTGAAGTGGATGGAAAATTTAATACTTTCTTACCTTCACGATTTGTACCTATGTTCGCTGACAACTCCATTTGCTTCGGTCAAATGCAAGAAGCTATTGATGCTGGACAATTACGCCTCAAGTATATTGGTGGCCCATATAATCATATTGAATTTAAATTAAAACAAGTTTAATTTTGTATAAATTTATGTAAAAAAATAATTCTATAATAAAGAAAATAATCTAATATTTATATTATTATTTTAGGTTAAGTTTAGTTTAAGAATTAATTATTATGTTAAATTTAAGGATAAGAAAAAAATAACTTTTAATTAAAATATAAATATATTAAAAAGACATATATACATATATAAAATAAAATTGTTTTTTTTTCAAAAAAAATATTTAAAAAAACACTATATATATATACATATAAGAAACATTTAACCTTTGCGTTACCGGGAGCCACCCGGGGTGACCCGGCGATAAAAAAATATTTAAAATATACTCTAATATATATCAATTTTATAAAAAAAAAATTTATTAATATTACTAGTAAAAAAAAACGTTTGGGTCACCCCGGGTGGCTCCCGGTAACGCAAAGGTTAAAAAAAGCATGCAAAAAAAAAAAAATTTTTTTTTAAATATATACAAATAAAAAATAAAAAAAAATAATTTTTTTAACGAAAAAAATATTTAAAAAAACGTTAGTATTTGTATACAAAAGAAAAAAAAACTATTAAAAAAAGAAAAAAATATTTAAAAAAATAAAAAAAATTATCGTTTGCGAGTCGCCGCCGTTTTATACGGCGCAAATCTTCGCCCTCTGCCTCTCCTCCCTCTCATGGGTAGGGGCTCAATAACAATACTTGAGCGAGAGGGAGGGGGTGGATTCTGGCGCATGTGTTGGGCGACCTCCTCCAGCCGCCCAGGGACCTCATCAACAGCCGCTCTGGGCTGATTCTGCTCCACAGATGGTTCGAGTGGAAACATGAACTATCTGTGCAGTGGAGGGAGCGTGGTGGGAAAAATAAAGATATATCTTTCTCTCTCCATAACTTGTTCTTTTTCTCTGTCACCGAAAACCCAGCAGGGGTCCGGACGGAATGAATGAATGGACGGAATGAAGGAATGGACAGAATGAAGGAATGAATTCAAAGATTATTATAGTTAATAACTAGCAACTTTGTCGTCCGCAAGCGGCCGACTACGTTGCTCGTGTGCATTAACCATATCTTTATTCACTTCTTTTTTTTCAAAAAATTTAATATTAGAAATTTTAAAAAAATTTCTTCATATTAAATCTACCACCCAAGGCACGGTTGGCCTGAACTAAATTTTATTCAAACTTTCAGTAACTCTAAATTTTTTTGTTGATTCTGAATTTATATTTTTTTAGCATTATTTTAAGACAAAAAAGAAAAAATTCGGCGGAGGGCTTTTTGAAATATACCATTTTAAAAAAAAAAAATTTTTTACTAAAAACTAAGTTACAGATTTATTTGAGTTGACTCGTTTTGTTTGTATTTTTTTTAAGCAGTCTAATAAATGTTAAGGTATTTAAAGGATAAGTAGGATTTCATAGCTGCAAAAGGTTTTTAATTTGACAAACAATGTACCGTTGACAAAAAATATTTTATCGAACTAAATATTTGAAATATAATTTGTAATAAATCTGTAATAAAAATTACAATATTTTTTATACACATTTTAAAGATTTATAAATGAAGTTAAATTTTAAAAATGTTTATGCAAAATATATAAACATGTAGCTTCAGATGTGCGAACTATTATACTGACACACTGCACATCTGAAGCTACATGTTTATATATTTTGCATAAACATTTTTAAAATTTAACTTCATTTATAAATCGTTAAAATGTGTATAAAAAATATTGTAATTTTTATTACAGATTTATTACAAATTATATTTCAAATATTTAGTTCGATAAAATATTTTTTTGTCAACGGTACATTGTTTGTCAAATTAAAAACCTTTTGCAGCTATGAAATCCTACTTATCCTTTAAATACCTTAACATTTATTAGACTGCTTAAAAAAAATACAAACAAAACGAGTCAACTCAAATAAATCTGTAACTTAGTTTTTAGTAAAAAAATTTTTTTTTTTAAAATGGTATATTTCAAAAAGTCCTCCGCCGATTTTTTTCTTTTTTGTCTTAAAATAATGCTAAAAAAAATATAAATTCAGAATCAACAAAAAAATTTAGAGTTACTGAAAGTTTGAATAAAATTTAGTTCAGGCCAACCGTGAAGGAGCACGGAATATTGCTTGAATGTCAAGGTGATATCAAGCGGGAAAATTTTTGTGACATTTAGGCGATATCATAATGTCCGCTTCATGGGGACATTCTACGGTGATATTCTTGTGAAATTCGCGTGATATTTGTATGGTACTGAGGGAATATTCCCGTGAAATTCACGCAATATTAAGAAAATATTCCTGGGATATTAAGGGAATATCCCTATGATATTGAGACAATATTCCTGTAATTTAGAAAATTCTAAAATGCTGTTTATTTTGAATATTTAATTAAACAAATAAATCAATGAAAAAAAATTGAAATTTTGTTAGAATTTTATAAATTATCTTATTAATATCACTGGAATATTCCCTCAATATCAGAGGAATAATTCACTCAATATCACACAAATTTCACGAGAATATTCCCTCAATATCATACGAATCACACGTGAATATCACCGAGGAATGTCCCCGTGAAGACATTATGATATCGCCTGAATGTCACAGGAATATTCCCACTTGATATCAATGTTACATTCAACCAATATTCCGTGCTACTTGGGCGCTTAACTTTACTTTTCCCTTATGACAGCAACTACTAAATAATCTATGTGACGGTCTCTCACACAGAAAATGTAACGCATAACAAAACTTACATTCTACATTCATCAAACCTAAATAATTCTGTGGAACCTTACTTTCATTGAAAACTTTAAGACATTATTGCATCTCCTACACTTTTTTATTTCGGTTATCGTTTTCACATGCCAAATTCTTTTCTTGACGCACTTTCTTTTCATCTTCCGTTTCCGTAGAAAATTTGTTCTTCTTACATGACAAATTATTTTCTTGACGCACTTTCTTTTCATCTTGAGTTTCCATTGATATTTTTCTTTCCTACATGCCAAATTTTTATCCTTGTGTATTTTCTTTTCATCTTTAGTTTCTATAGATAATTTCTTTTTTTGCATGTCAAATTTTTTTTGCGCTCTTTCTTTTGTATTTCTGTTTCATTACGATTACGTTTTCTCAATCTACCATTCTCTTGTCTAATTATTTTCTGTTCATATGTAACTTCGCGCGTTGCCTTCCCTTTTCTTTAATTCCTAGAATTATCTTTTTATCAATTTCTTCACTCAGAAAATACTTCATTTCTGAATATTCAAGTGGTGAAATTTTGTTCATATTATTATTAGTTGTACGAATTATTTTCTCTTCACTAGTGTCATTTAGAGAATGTTTAATTTCTAAATATTGTGTTAATAGAACTCTGTTAATATTATTTCTGGGAAAAGTATTAAAACAGAACAAGGGTTCAAAATATTATTTTTAAGTTCCTGAGCTCGATTTATGAAAAGACGGTTCCAATCATTCTCTATTATCGAATTCCTATTGTGAGACGTTCTTATTGACGGAAAATGATTTAAGCGATTATTTTCAAACATTGACTTTAAATGGTTTCTCATTCTGTTATTATCAGTTTCATAATTTACGCTGTTTGACATTACGTTAAAAAATATAGATGTTGCAAATGCTATTGCATATACTCCACACTCAACACTACCAAAAGGTTGTTGATCAACAACTACAAAAACTACTGTTGGTTTAAAAGGGAACAATCTAATTAAATATTTCATTTGATGCACATTTAAACACCCCTCATTAAGGCTATAAAAGTATAAGTACTTTGCATATTGAAAAAAGAATTGGAATCTTTTCTTAATAAATCTTCAAATTTGTACATATGCATGTCATTTAACAATTTATTTCTATTTTTAACAATTTTTAAATCTTCATCACTCAAAATAAGATACTCTTTTATGTTGGCCATAGTATACTTCGTTTAATTTTATTTTTGATTCATGAAAATCTAAATATCTTTAATCCTCTCGCTCACTCTCTCCAATATAACAAATTTTGCCATTTATTAAATATAACCAATTTTGCCTTTAATTCAATATAACAAATTTTGCCTTTTATCCAATACAACTACCAATATCCAATAGAATGAGAGAACTATGAATGAGTAACTACTGATCAGCCAATAAGTGCAAAAGGACACTCTTATATGATTAATCAGTAGTTCATTACAGATACCATATATACATTTATATACACTTGTATTAAAACCCCGGATTAATTACCACAAAAATCCAACCCTTGGACAATAGAACCTTTGTTAAATAATCAATGAGAATTAACTCTGAGGACCCAGGTAATAATTTCTTTTCTCCCATTTATTACATGGAAAAATACCCTTAGACAATAGAACCTTTGTTGATAAGGATTAACTCTGAGAACTTAGGTAATAATTTTTAAATTTTTTTTATTAAAATTTTCAGGGACTCTAATACAGGTATGCACACATATATATATATATATTTATTTTTATTTTCAAAACAAAAAGGAAAAAGATTAAGATTTTAGACGAAGATATTCTTATGCCATTTTGAATTGTCTAGATAGAGAAACGCAATGTTAAACGAAGAAGTACTTATGTTATATTCCTTGGTGTAAGAAAGAAAGGTATGCGTTACCTATTTAGTTTTAGACTTTCTTTATAGTTTTTTTTTCACGTGATAAAGACAGAAAGAAATTATTACCTGGGTCCTCAGAGTTATTAATTAATCCTCTTTAAAAGATTGCAGGTCAAGTGAACCCTCATTTGCAAAATAAAGATATATCTTTCTCTCTCCATAACTTGTTCTTTTTCTCTGTCACCGAAAACCCAGCAGGGGTCCGGACGGAATGAATGAATGGACGGAATGAAGGAATGGACAGAATGAAGGAATGAATTCAAAGATTATTATAGTTAATAACTAGCAACTTTGTCGTCCGCAAGCGGCCGACTACGTTGCTCGTGTGCATTAACCATATCTTTATTCACTTCTTTTTTTTCAAAAAATTTAATATTAGAAATTTACAAAAAATTTCTTCATATTAAATCTACCACCCAAGGAGCACGGAATATTGCTTGAATGTCAAGGTGATATCAAGCGGGAATATTGTTGTGACATTCAGGCGATATCATAATGTCCGCTTCATGGGGACATTCTACGGCGATATTCTTGTGAAATTCGCGTGATATTTGTATGGTACTGAGGGAATATTCCCGTGAAATTCACGCAATATTAAGAAAATATTCCTGGGATATTAAGGGAATATCCCTGTGATATTGAGACAATATTCCTGTAATTTAGAAAATTCTAAAATGTTGTTTATTTTGAATATTTAATTAAACAAATAAATCAATAAAAAAAAATTGAAATTTTGTTAGAATTTTATAAATTATCTTATTAATATCACTGGAATATTCCCTCAATATCAGAGGAATAATTCACTCAATATCACACAAATTTCACGGGAATATTCCCTCAATATCATACGAATCACACGTGAATATCACCGAGGAATGTCCCCGTAAAGACATTATGATATCGCCTGAATGTCACGGGAATATTCCCACTTGATATCAATGTTACAATCAACCAATATTCCGTGCTACTTGGGCGCTTAACTTTACTTTTCCCTTATGACAGCAACTACTAAATAATCTATGTGACGGTCTCTCACACAGAAAATGTAACACATAACAAAACTTACATTCTACATTCATCAAACCTAAATAATTCTGTGGAACCTTACTTTTATTGAAAAGTTTAAGACATTATTGCATCTCTTACACTTTTTTATTTCGGTTATCGTTTTCACATGCCAAATTCTTTTCTTGACGCACTTTCTTTTCATCTTCCGTTTCCGTAGAAAATTTGTTCTTCTTACATGACAAATTATTTTCTTGACGCACTTTCTTTTCATCTTGAGTTTCCATTGATATTTTTCTTTCCCTACATGCCAAATTTTTATCCTTGTGTATTTTCTTTTCATCTTTAGTTTCTATAGATAATTTCTTTTTTTGCAAGTCAAATTTTTTTTGCGCTCTTTCTTTTGTATTTCTGTTTCTGTTTCATTACGATTACGTTTTCTCAATCTACCATTCTCTTGTCTAATTATTTTCTGTTCATATGTAACTTCGCGCGTTGCCTTCCCTTTTCTTTAATTCCTAGAATTATCTTTTTATCAATTTCTTCACTCAGAAAATACTTCATTTCTGAATATTCAAGTGGTGAAATTTTGTTCATATTATTATTAGTTGTACGAATTATTTTCTCTTCACTAGTGTCATTTAGAGAATGTTTAATTTCTAAATATTGTGTTAATAGAACTCTGTTAATATTATTGCTGGGAAAAGTATTAAAACAGAACAAGGGTTCAAAATATTATTTTTAAGTTCCTGAGCTCGATTTATGAAAAGACGGTTCCAATCATTCTCTATTATCGAATTCCTATTGTGAGACGTTCTTATTGACGGAAAATGATTTAAGCGATTATTTTCAAACATTGACTTTAAATGGTTTCTCATTCTGTTATTATCAGTTTCATAATTTACGCTGTTTGACATTACGTTAAAAAATATAGATGTTGCAAATGCTATTGCATATACTCCACACTCAACACTACCAAAAGGTTGTTGATCAACAACTACAAAAACTACTGTTGGTTTAAAAGGGAACAATCTAATTAAATATTTCATTTGATGCACATTTAAACACCCCTCATTAAGGCTATAAAAGTATAAGTACTTTGCATATTGAAAAAAGAATTGGAATCTTTTCTTAATAAATCTTCAAATTTGTACATATGCATGTCATTTAACAATTTATTTCTATTTTTAACAATTTTTAAATCTTCATCACTCAAAATAAGATACTCTTTTATGTTGGCCATAGTATACTTCGTTTAATTTTATTTTTGATTCATGAAAATCTAAATATCTTTAATCCTCTCGCTCACTCTCTCCAATATAACAAATTTTGCCATTTATTAAATATAACCAATTTTGCCTTTAATTCAATATAACAAATTTTGCCTTTTATCCAATACAACTACCAATATCCAATAGAATGAGAGAACTATGAATGAGTAACTACTGATCAGCCAATAAGTGCAAAAGGACACTCTTATATGATTAATCAGTAGTTCATTACAGATACCATATATACATTTATATACACTTGTATTAAAACCCCGGATTAATTACCACAAAAATCCAACCCTTGGACAATAGAACCTTTGTTAAATAATCAATGAGAATTAACTCTGAGGACCCAGGTAATAATTTCTTTTCTCCCATTTATTACATGGAAAAATACCCTTAGACAATAGAACCTTTGTTGATAAGGATTAACTCTGAGAACTTAGGTAATAATTTTTAAATTTTTTTTATTAAAATTTTCAGGGACTCTAATACAGGTATGCACACATATATATATATATTTATTTTTATTTTCAAAACAAAAAGGAAAAAGATTAAGATTTTAGACGAAGATATTCTTATGCCATTTTGAATTGTCTAGATAGAGAAACGCAATGTTAAACGAAGAAGTACTTATGTTATATTCCTTGGTGTAAGAAAGAAAGGTATGCGTTACCTATTTAGTTTTAGACTTTCTTTATAGTTTTTTACGTGATAAAGACAGAAAGAAATTATTACCTGGGTCCTCAGAGTTATTAATTAATCCTCTTTAAAAGATTGCAGGTCAAGTGAACCCTCATTTGCAAAATAAAGATATATCTTTCTCTCTCCATAACTTGTTCTTTTCTCTGTCACCGAAAACCCAGCAGGGGTCCGGACGGAATGAATGAATGGACGGAATGAAGGAATGAATTCAAAGATTATTATAGTTAATTATTATTATTATTATTATTACCAGAGGACGGACCCTTATAACTTGAGCAGCTTGTTGAGGCTGTTCAACCTAAAAAAAAAATTAATTTTAAAATTATGACGTCATATTCGTAATCAGCGACCCCGAAAACCCCACGGTAACAAGTTTCAGGCATTCCGCCCGAAATTAAAAAAAAATATTCGCCATATTGGATCCGCTATTTTGAATTTTAAAATTCTGACGTCAGATTCGTAATCAGCGACCCCGAAAACCCCACGGTAACAAGTTTCAGGCATTCCGCCCGAAATTTAAAAAAAAATATTCGCCATATTGGATCCGCCATTTTGAATTTTCAAATTCTGACGTCATATTCGTAATAAGTTACCCCGAAAACCCCACGGTAACAAGTTTCAGGCATTCCGCCTGAAATTTAAAAAAAAAATATGCGCCATTTTGAAATTTAAAATGACGTCACTTAAACTTCCCCCCCCCCTCTCCCGTAACAAGTTTCAAGCATTAAGCCCGAAATTTTTAAAAAGATTATTCACCATAACCTTTTATTCATAACTTTGCTTTTGTATATATATACACACTAAACTCTATATATCTGAAATGCTGTCTACCATTGAAAGTCGCGAGCCGAGAGAGAGATCTGATTTCTGTAATCCCCTCTTTGTCGGTACAGGTCCATTAGAAAATATTTAACAGTATGTATACGTGAACATGATATAACACAGTTAACAGTAAACTTTTGGAACGTATTGTACCACGCCTGCGTAGTTTAGCAAGAGAAGGAGAGGTACACAAGAATCAGACCTCTCTCTCTACTCGCGACTTTCAATGGCAGACAGCATTTTTAGAAATATAGAGTTTAGTGTGTATATACAGGGTGATATAAAAAAAGTAATAAATCTGAAAATTTCTGGCCAAAAAAATTATTTTAAAAATACCTTTTTGGTGTGGCTTTAAAAAACTTCGTAAAACTTCGCTGAGAAGAAGTTGAAGTTCAAAAAAAGTTAGCCAATGACAGAGCAGAAATTTTCGCGAACGGAAATGTTTCATTTGACAGATGAAATTCTCGGGAAGCCAACTTCGCTGTGTGCAGGGTTTGGAATGTGACAAAGAATTTTCTGTCATTTGAAAAAAGCTCAAAAGCTCCACTCAAAACAGCGCGATAAATTTGAAAATTGCAATTGACATCAACAGTAATATTTGTTTAAATAATATTTAGTACATCAAATTTATTTGCAAAAAGTTGCAATTGTGATTATAGTAAAAAGTATACATTTTTGTGAAACGTCAAAACACAAATTGACATGTGATTTGAAATGCGTAAATAAACACGGATTAGATTTTTAAAGTGCAATTACATCAAAAACTATGTGAATATTAAATAAAAAGTACATAATAATTTACAAAATAGAAGAATTGTTACACTTGCAAGTAAGTAAATAAAAAATTTAATACAATTATTTGTGAAAATTGTTTAATTGTCATAAATAAGGTTATACTTGATTGACGAGCGTGATAAATTTTTTTCTAATGTAAACAATTATTCGTAATTTATCAAATTTCAAATACAAAAAAGTTACGCATGGTAAATGTGATTTGTTGATTTTTTAAAAAATAAATTTAAACAAAGTTACTGTATAATTACTTAATTATTACTCATTATCAATAATTATTTAGAAAATAATTTGTTCTCACAATCATAAATGTATGAAAATTGTAACTTTTTCATTTTCAGAAAAAATTTATCAATCGGATGCTGCCATCTATGCCATCATTTTCGAAAAATACCAATAATTTAATTAATTTAAAAATTTTTTTTTTAATTAATCACAAAAAAAAATTATATGTAATCATTTTTTGGAATAATTTTATTTCAATTTCTTTTTATTTTCTAACTTAACCTTGCGTGAAATATTTTTTTAATCTTTTATCACTATTAGTCTCAATCCTAAATCATTGGTTGAGTTTACTGGCTGTTAATTTCAAGAATTGTGTTTAACTCTTGTTAAATTTATTTTTTTCCATTTGGTAAAATTTTGCTTTTACCAAAAATTTTCTTTTAAACATAAACTTATTAAATAACTACTGTTTAAATTAAAAATTGGATTTTTTAATTTTTTCAATTCGTATTATCTCCAAGAAAAATTCCTTCATTTTGCTTTGATTATAAATATGGCTACTCTTAATGCAACCTAAAATTTAAAAACTGTAAATAAAATAAAATTTTATTTAAAAAAATATTATTTTAAATTTGAGAAAAAATTTGACATTTTTATTTTTATTAAAATGCAACAATCAGCTGTTGCTCTTTGGTGGCGTAGTCGAAAAATGTCAACTTTTTTCTACAAATGTGTTAAACTCTCTGTGACATTATACACAATGCTTTTTAAATTCTCTATCTTATTACAACTAAAAAATAACGAAAAAAGGATGAATCAATTTTCGGACTGGTTTTATATCAGTTTCTTTTGATCCTTAAAGTAAACCTTGTGTCTAATATCATTTTTGTATTTTAAGAAAATCAGTCTTAATCTTAGACCATTGATCAAAAGGACTGACTATTTTATGTTTCACCTAAGATTAATTTTACGAATTTTTTCTTTATTATTACAATATTAAAAATAAAGAATCTTCTGTTAATAATTGAATTTATCAAATTCACATAACAGTACAAGTGTAAATGATTTTTCTACAACGCCTACTCGGAAAATGCTACGTTTCATGTTTTTGAAGAGTGGCGAAAATTGAATTTTTATCAACTCCTTTATGGAGCGTGGCGAAGGTAATTTTAGCGTGACCAAAGTAAATTGTATGATGTCATGGACTTTTATTCAGATTTTGACTCCCCATCTTTCCATTATTCAGCTATTTTGTTCTCACCCCCCCCTTCCTCCCCCATGGTATATTACACAGACATTTTCAAAAACGCACTTCTTCGCGAGGCGTTGGAGAAAACGTAGTGTACAACACGTGATAAAAGAATGATTAATTTTAGATTTTTTAAATTATTTTTCTTTTCCTAATAAATCCCACCCAATGACGTGGACACTTGCAATATAAAATAATTTAAATATGGGCAAAAGTTAGAATAGTTGATCAACAATGGCTAAAAGTTTATTAAAAGCTGACATTATTTTGTCAACTTAATGCAAGACTTTTAAAGGCTAACAAACATTACAGCTAAAGCCATTCCCATAATTTGAACATGGAAGGAAATAATTTTTTTTTCAATTTTTTAACTTAAGGAGAGTGACCGGTGAAATTTTAACCTAACGAAATTAATGCTGTTTAATGGTTATCAATTTTTTTGTATTAATATTGGGTGTTTAAAATTATGATATACTATGAAAAATTGAAGAACTATAAATTTGTTAATAATTTCGTAATAAAATTAAAAATTTTCGAAAAATTAAAATTTTAACTTCTCTTACAATTTTAATAATTGTTACTGCTAATTTTTATACGCTTTTTTCATGATTTTAAACAATCAAGCATATGGATTTTGAAAAATTTCAATTTTTTCTAAAAATGGAAATTTTGAAAAATAAAAGAAATTTGTAAAGTTAAAAATTACTTTTTGAAATTTTTCTCAGTAGAATATCATTGTAGGTTGTAAAAATATCAATATTACCCCAATTTTTTTTAATTTTAATGATAAGATGTAATAATTTTGGATCCTAAATTATGCCAAAAAAAAATTTACACCCCTGAACAATAATAATTTCAGTACGCTGAAATATCATCGGTCCCTCCCTTTAAGAAAATTAAGTATTCAAAATATGGCTAAAATATAAGCAAGGTATGGCCAAAAAAAAACTTTTTTTTTACTTTTTAACTAGAAAAAATTTAAATTTTTCAATTTTTCACGCTAATTTTTACGTCTTTGAAAGAGTTTGCATCTGTCGAAAAAGTTAACTCATTAATTATCTTTTAATAACGTAGAAAATTACAGAAATTATTTGTAACTTGGTTTGGCTACTTCTAATTTCTTGAAAATAATTTTAGTACACCATTTCCGAAAAAATTGATTTTTTGAATATTGAAAAAAATAAAGGCAGAGTACAGATCAAAATTAAATTTTTTTTAATTTCTAACTTTAATAAATTTTACATTTTAAACATGAACAAATTATGGGCAAAGTGTAGGGCAAAATATACGGAAGTCTCACTTATCTGAAATCATGCTTATTTTAAATTTCATTTATTTTAACCCTTTACAATAATTAATATTTTCATACTTATGGAACAATCGCTTCTATCACATTTGCTTCACATTTTAAACATGTATAAGCAACGGTCGACTCACGCTATAGTAGCTCCGTTGATAACACTGTTGACCCACGGTTGTGCCACAGTTTGCATGTTACTTTTTTAAAATGTTTGAAGCTTCTGCGTTACATAACTGAAGCATTTTTGGACCCCGCACAGAATACACGTAAACAATCTTCCAGTGAAAATGTCTAAAACTTTAGGGAAATGAAGTACTTGATATGCACAACAAAATGCCAAAGCAAAAATAGCACGTTTTAGGGCTAGGTGTACACTGAGAAAAATATGCTATAGAATCAATACGCTGCATATTCAGGATCGTTCCAAAGTATATGCTATCAAATTGATGTAATATTCAGTTAATTTTATAGCTCTGGTTTTGACTCAAGAGCAGTGTTATAAAATCAACTGAATATTTCATCAATTCATCAATATTAATTCAATAGCATATTTTTATCAATGTAGAGTTAAGAGCGGTCAAAGGTCAAAAATTAACAAAATCGCAAATAGCTCATAGTTTCAACTGTTTGTTTCAAACTTCAAGAATAAAAAGTACAAGTTTTCCCCAAAAAACGTAATCAACGACATGAGCCTCACTTAGGGTCCGGAATAGGGCTAGAAGCTGACAAAGGTAAAAAATTGCCGTAATTACAATAGTGTTAAAAAATACTTTTTTAAAATAATTTAATAATTTATTTTTTTATATTTTTAATTTTTAATAATTTAATACAAATAATT